ATTCATAGTAAGATGGCAGTGATGCACAAAGGAAATAGGTTATATAAAACTAGAAACTAATGTGTATGCATGCAAAAAATTCCCATGCAAACAAAAAAGATTCTTGTGTGCATGTAAAAGACTGTTGTTTTTTTAAACCCTGAAAAAATAAAAAATATTTACAGATGACTGTACTATATACCAAATATAATGCTGAAAATAATGCTCTATGAACCAATTAGGTTTGGAAATTTGAGTCTGGAAAGTATGGAATTTTAAAATGGAAAATGTGTAGGAACCCTGTAAATGTATATATATATTACTTAAAATAATCTATTTTTAATTACATATTTTCATTTTATTAATATTATATGTATATATATATATATATATATATATAAATTCTGATTCTGACACGTGAACATCCCATAACTTTGTTTGTGTGTTTTATTTCTGTATGCGTGCTTGTGTTTGTATCAGTGTGTGTTTTTGATCTTTTAAATCCTGTAGAAAATGAAGCGATCATGTTTTGTTGATATTGCTGTAATATAACTTTATTCATATGATTAGTCTTTATAATTTAATCATGATGATTCACACATTAGCATTCGAGAGACTGATTGTTTTTAAATCAGAAACATTGCTTTAGTTTACACACGCACGCACGCACACACTCACACACACACACTGAGTGTGTGAACACACGCACACACACACACACGCACACACTCACACACACACACTCACACACACGCGCACACACACACACACACACATTCCTGAAACAGGAGCAGAATGAATCCGAGTGAATCATCTGAGTTTAATGAATGAAGCTCACAGACTGTAAACACAGCAGCCTCGTTTATCTGATCGTGTGATTGATTCAATTAGTGTCTCGTTTCATGTGAAATTAAATCAGGTGCGTAAATGAGTTTGCACAGTTCTTTTCCCTCGGTCGTGTTCATTTAACGAGAATCAGAGTTTGTGAAGAATCAGACGCTCGTCTGTGTTTTATCTGCTAAATATAGATCAATAAAGTTTTGAAGACTCTTGAAGTATTATTATCTGAATGTCACGTTCATAAATCAGTCATATACAGACGAGTTTGACGTGACATCTGGAAAATATAGATTTGTTTACATATTAAAGTCAGAAATTACTGATATGACTTTTTCTTTCTTCAGTGGAACATAAAAGAAAAATGAAATGTAGTTTTTTGAAAGTCATTGAGCTCCATTGTCTTTCTTTTTATGTGTTTTTCATATAAGAAAGTCATTTTTGGTGATTATGAAGTGATTATTTTGACAGAAACATATCAAATTACTGTGAAATTATAACTTGTTTTAAGTCGTTGTGCATGTTTTGCTGTATTTGATCAGTGTGTAAAAATATCATAATTTTACACGTTTTACAGTGTTTGACTGTCAATAATAACTGGTTTGAGATGTTCATGAACTTCACTGAGTAACTGAAGTAAAGATAACAGCCACTTAACTATTGGTTAACATTAAAGTTAACTAGCAGCCCACTGACATCAGCTGTAAATGAGGACAAGCTTTTATTTCATTAGAATAACATCTGATGAATCATTTACAGTAAGACCAGGATCATGAATCAAGAGTCATGATTTCATATTGACTTTGATGCAAGATTGTAATATTTCTGAGGAAATGTAGATGCACTCATTTTTCTTAGTTTTTTAATTGTTGAATTAGTTTGTATTTTTAGCTTTCCATTTTTATTTTCAATTGATTTTCGTTTCCGCTTTTTGTTTTCGATCCTTGAACCCTGATTTCAAGCAATGAAAATGTTCCTTTAATGGCTTTAGTTTTAGTTCTGTGGGTCTTAAAAAAGTCTCGATTCATCCTTCCACAAATTAAGATCTTAAAAGCTCTTAAATCAGAGCTGAAAGTCGTGCCATGGCATTAAATGTTGCATGCACTGCAAAAACATATACATCCTCCTCAGTATTTCTGTCTTGCTTTCCAGCACAAATATCTAAACATCCTTAAATCATACATTTACCAGAGATGCGAAATTAAGATATAAAGTCATGTTTTCTGAGA